AACACCTTTATAAGTACAGAACTCTGGTGATGTGAACGCAGGTCATAATAAAGATTCTACTGCTTTTATTTTGAAGAGTTGGATCATAGATGCAGCATGTTTCGCAAATTTTCCACTTCTGGTTTTGTTAGAATATAAAAAAATATGTGTGCTAACACAATCACTACTTCAGTCAGACCTCTTCCTCCAAAGGTCACCAGGTGAAACGCATTAAGATCTTTGTTTGTATGCTTCTTTGTGCGCGTGAGGTCACACCTAACTGGATTGTTTCTGCTGTCAAGAGTGAACAACTCAACCAGGACCAGAGAAATAATGAAAAAAAGCTATTTACCTCAAGTGAAATCAATGCTCCAGACCTTAAAGTGGCTTTCATGGGTCTGCATCAGTAGCATGACGCCAATAGCCAAACATCTGGGGTGTCCAAAGGATGGCCCATGGGCCACTTGTAGCCTGAAGAGGGATGTTTTGCTTCTGCAATTTAACAATGGCTAAATTAGTTAAAGTTATTGATTGACTTTTAAGAATTTGATTCAGATTAATATAAAAGTAGGGATGTTTGAAATTATCAGTCTACCATTAGTATCAGCTGATTTTAAACTGTAATATCTAAAAATATTGGTATCAGTTTTCAGTCTTTTAATGACACAACTTTTACATACCAAACACATAATATTTATCTTCTCTCTCAAAATGTCCCAGTATGACACATCTGAAGTCACGCCAACACCGTCATTTAAAATATAAGCCATTATAGTTAATGATAAATGACCCACACTTGTATAGCACCTCTCAGAGTAAGGACTCCAAAGCACTTTACACTACAGTATATCATTCATCCATTCACACACACATTCACACACTGATGGTGATGAGCTACGATTTAGCCACAGCTGCCCTGGGGCGCCCTGACAGAGGTGCCACCAGTCCCTCTGAGCACCACCAGCCGGCAAAATGGGTTAAATGTCTTGCCCAAGGACACAACAGCAGAATTCTCTGTCTGGATCGAACCTGCAACCTTCCGATTACTGGACAACCCGCTCAACCTGTTGAGCTACTGCTGCCCACAGTGAGAGTGAGGTACATGGGAAGCGGAGCACCGTGTTCCAGAAGCGCCGCGCCGAAAATAGGCGCCAGTCCTATCTTCAAGTGCCGCAGCTGTTTACAACATTGTGGAGTACTTTACAACAGACATTACAATGCGGAACGGCTTTACGGCACAAACTTAACCGCCGGCACTAACCTAGCCCGCAGTTTTGTTTACTTTAAAATACTTTTAATCTTAAAATATTCAAATAAATTGCATACTTACCCATTTTTAATGAATTAGAGTCTCACAAAGCACAAAGGCAAGTCTAAGATGAGTACAGTATGTTGATTTAAGATGACCACCATCTTTAGAAAAAAAAACTCCCACCCACTGCATTCCACTCTGGAGACCATGGACAGCTCCGTCAGAGGCAGACTGACACATCCTAGATGTAAAACAGCACACTGCCGAAGGTCATTCATCCCCTCTGCAGTAAGAGTGCATAACTCCTCAGTTTAAGCTGCACTGGCATCATCCTGTTACACAAAAACACCAATGCAATACTCAGTATGTGTGCAATACTCATTCAAAAACATAGTATGTTTGTGTCTCTAGCAGTATGCTGCATAGTGTTGGAACCCAAGTTTTTTTCTTTTTTATTCGTGGTTTTTAGCGGTCGATGGTTACAATAATAGCTTACTGCCTATGTGTATATGCATGTACCTTTGTTGTTATTGTAACGGAATGAAATGACTGTTTTTTCCCTCCTCTGCACAAGACTAGTCTGCATGAGATATGGTCTCAGGGTCTTATGCATTCCTTCTAACCTGCTTATTTTCAGCTCAACAGAAGAATGAAGAATGAACTTTTTTCTTTTAATTAATCAAAGAACTTTATCTTAATAAAGCTAATCCATCAGTGTTAGTCAATAAATAAGATGTGACCGATCTGTGAAATCAAAATATTAATTACTTTATTATGATCCTATAGAATATAATAAGAAATATGACTTTAAATGTTCCAACAGGACTCATTTCACGTAGCGTTAAAAGACATAACACATTACTTTCACTGAGCCAATCAGAATCTGACAGATCTGACGGAGGCGTGGTTTTGATGGTGTCTGGTAATTTTTCATTCGACAATAAACCAAAACATCCGAAGTATAAAACTATGCCACGCCAGCTCTAATGCCAGTTCAAAGCGTTCCAGAGAAAGTGACAGAGTGGCCAATCCTGAACTATACTCTTAAACCGAAAAGAACCAACGACAAGCTGAAAAATTCAATTAGTTGCTATTCCAGCTGCGGCAACAGTTCCTTTCATAATAAAAGCTGAACCATCAAGACCCAGGCTTGGGTCTCACCAGACGCCAACAAATTGTCGCGACCCGGACGTATTCCAGGATGGGTGGTCGTTTGCTGTGGCTTCTTCTACATGCTCCGGCTCCACAAGGTCAAGCTGGACCTTTACACCTCCTGATCTAGACGGGGACTTCCGCTCAGGGTATGTAGACCGGCAAATGGTGTCTCATGTGTTTATGAACCTCCTAACCAAAGCTTAATGCGAAGACATCGCCTTCAGTTCCCGTCAGAACAAATCGCTTCTTCGGATTTGCTGGTTCTGATTAACATCACACGTCATCCATTCACCGTCTCATCCACTTTAGTTACACCATACATTTAGTTTTAAAGTCAGTCTAGTTTAATTTGTTAGTAATAAAATTCTTAACTTTTAAACCTGACTCTCTCTCTTCTGTTGTCTCTGAGTGAATACGAAGCGGTTACATAATCCCTGCAATAAAAAGATCCAATCTTCTGGTTTAAATAACCTCACCGATCCGTAAGGTGGATTTTATATTTCCTATGGAATCCCACGCCTTATGGCTCATTAAATAACATGTAATTTAAATCATTACATTATTTTTCTTCAAATTATTCTCTTAAATGGTGATGCTCCTGTAACAAGTGAATTTCCCCACTCTGGGATCAATAAAGTCTATCCTATTCTAAGTCTGATCACGTAAAAGCAATAGCCACTTCTGTTCTCAAGTCCTGCGTGATGTTGTGACAATCGCGTGACGTTCCAAGAAGCGCTCAGCAGCGTGTCCCGTGTGACCACTTGACTTCTCAAAATCGCGAGCGTGACACGTCGCAGCGCGTCTGCCTCCAGTGTGCTCCAGGCTTAAAAGAGCCTATATCGAGCTTCCCAACAAAAAAGGCAGAGAAATCATTTTTAGTAGAAAAGTTGAAGTAAAATACGTTTTAGTTTTTCTTTCTGTTGAGGAAGAACAAAAAGACCCATTTTATATCTCCACGCTTCAGATAAGGTCAAGCCGAAATGTAGATGATTTTTGGGTTCATCTTTAATCTTCAACCATTCCGAGATGAAGTTTATAAATATTATGTGAAGTTTATTCATGACTGATTCATATATGGAGAGCTGAGGGGACGTTTGTGTTAAAATGTAAAATCTGTAGTTTTATCCATCCATTTTCTGCTGCTTATCTGGAGTTGGGTCACGGGGGCAGCAGCCTAAGCAGGGAGGCCCAGTCTTCCCTCTCTCCAGCCACTTGGGCCAGCTCCTCCAGGGGAACCCTAAAGTGTTCCCTGGCCAGCCAAGAGACTTTTGGGCCATTCCCACCTGTACCGGGTCGGCCCGGGCCGGGTAGCGTAGGTTGTTTACATATCTGGGTGGCCTGGTATTTTTCCGGGCCAACCAAGGCTCATTCTCAGCCCTCTTCTCGAGGGGGTCTGCTTCAGGCCGACCAGGGCCAACACACCCACTGCTGACAGCAAATTCACACCTTCCATTAGAGCAAGCCTCTGATTGGTGGGTAGAATCAGCCCACATGGGCTTAAGGCAAGGATGTGTGGAATCAACCGGGCCAGGCTGGGGCCGACTGGGCCTACCCGGCCCGGGCCGACCCGGTACAGATGGGAATGGCCCAATAGTCTCTCCAGCGTATCCTTAGTCTACCTTTAGGTCTCCTACCGGTTGGACATGCCCAGAAAACCTCACCAAGGAGGCGTCCCATGCCACCTAGACTGGCTCCTCTCATTGTTTTAGTCAATTAGTTTTATTACATTTGTAAAAAAAAAAAAAAAAAAAAAAAAAAAAACGGCAGAGTTTTGTGCCTCTAGATCCTGCTTTTGTTGTGTGTGTGTGTGCGTATGTGTGTGTGTGCGTGTGTGTGTGTGTGTGTGTGTGTGTGTGTGTGTGTGTGTGTGTGTGTGTGTGTGTGTGTGTGTGTGTGTGTGTGTGTGTGTGTGTGCTATATGCCTGTCAGTTGTCGGTATTGGGAAATGGCTACATTATTGATGCAGGAGGCGTTCTCTCTAAGACACAAACTCGAATGACAAAAACATCCAAATCCTCTTGAAGTCAAACACAAACTCACTGTTAAAGAGGAAGTAAAGGCAGCACATCACCTGTTCTCGACACACCTAATTGTGTCCAGCTTTACTATAAAGAAGAGGGTTGAAACACTCCAGGCTGACAGGAAATAGTTCAGCTTAAAAGAAAAACAGGAATCAGAAGAAATGAGAGTTGTGAGGAGGGAGAAGTTTTCATGGAGGCAGCAGTGGGAGGAAAGAAGAGTTCTCAGCATCTCTTTTCTCAGGGCTTTGTAAAGGTCTCATTAAATATGGATGGTGAAGCAGAGCAGGAAGGAGTGGGACTCCACAAACACCCAGCAGCTCAGACAGCCACGTTTCTCATACTGGGATGGAGCTCCACTCATCTGTCTGCTCATCCTTCCTTTATTCTCTCCTTTCTTCTCTGTTCTGCTGTCCAAAGTTGCCTCTCTAGTATTCTAACCTCTGTCTTGTTAACCTCTACGCTCTTTCTCGCATGTTCCTCCTTCCTGCCTGTGAAGAAATGACTGATCACTTATTGACTGGAAGATTCTGTTCACTTCCCTCGCCTCTCTGAGAGCACCTCACAACTCATCAAAATGTTGTGTTCATCCTCAGGAGATGAGGATCCATCATCTGAGTCCTCCTCAGTGGGACGATGGACGAGCAGAAGTGTAACCGGCGTCTCCGACGAGCCCTGATACACAGGGCAGGGTAGCAGGTGTGTGAGCTTTCCTAAATGCTATTGTGAGACAGGAGTGTGTGTGTGTGTGTTCCTCACTTTTTTAGAAGATTACCAGAAGCTTACTATACAAGTTAGAGGTATGATGTGAATTAAGTTTTAATTAAGGTAAGGGTTAGGAATATATCAGCACTGGTTATGGTTAGGGTTAGGCAGAGTGGAACAAAAACTGAATGGAAGTCAAAGGAGGGTCCTCACTAAGATGGATAGACAAGTGTGTGTGTGTGTGTGTGTGTGTGTGTGTGTGTGTGTGTGTGTGTGTGTGTGTGTGTGTGTGTGTGTGTGTGTTATGGTCTTTTATTCTAAGCAGACATGTAAGGTGGAAGTGAAGCTCAGTCTAATCTGGCTCAGCAGGAGTGACGTGCAGCCTCCCTGCCAGAGCCTGCAGGCACACTCCTTAATCCCATTTAGCAGCTCTGTGTGCGTCTCTGCATGTGTATTTTCAACCTTATACAAACGAAGGAAGTCATCTTATCTCTCAACACAAAGATACTCACTTGTGTTTTTAATTAAATAGATGTGGGATCCACCAGCATGTTTGGCATCTGTAACCTGGAGAAAAATCACGTTATAGTTCATTTTGTTCCTTCAAACGTCACGATTGGATGCTTTAACTGCATCAGACATGTTTTTGTTTAGCTATGAAAAATTTTGATGGATGTGATTCTGGTTAAATAATTATTTTATGAGATTTAAGAATACAGCTGAGTATATTTGTTTTTTATCACACATTTTAAAAACCCAAACCCAAACCCTAAAATCATCTAAAGTTTAAGTCCCACTGGTAATCATCACACATGGTGAAATGACATCTTAGTGCTCGGGAACTATTTGGTCGTTAAAACCCCCAATCCAACTTGTCAAAGCTGAGTTTCAAGCAGGGGGGCATTGGGTCCCTTTTTTAAAAGTCTGGTATGACCGAACCATGGATTTGAACCCCGGCCTCCTGGTCCCAGGGTGGACACTCATAACATTACATGCACCACTGAGAAGGGTTATCCTGTCGATGAACCCCTTGAAGCCTGAAACAGTAATAAAATAATGACAGTATTAGTAGTAATATTAATAATAATCTTGAATTTTAAACTACATTTTTGTTGTCTAACACTCAGTTTTACTTTTAGTAATTCTATAACAGTAAATAAATAAATAAAATTGGCGCTCTCTACCTGGGGGCAGCAGACATGTGTAGGACTTAATTTGGCAGCTTTCTGCTGAAGGTACTAATGCTAATACTCACACTTTCACCCTTGCACCCTTCAGTTGTGAGTTCCCAGCCAGGGGTGCGAGTGTGTAGGGTGTCCCAATTCTCAAGTGTAGAAGGTGACCACACCACTTTTGCACCCTTGATAAGTTTTCACCCTCTGGATGGAATCATCTTCTTCTTCTTCTTCTTCTTCTTCTTCTTCTGCTTCTGCTTCTGCTTCTGCTTCTGCTTCTTCTGCTTCTTCTGCTTCTTCTTCTTCTTCTGCTTCTGCTTCTGCCTCTGCTTCTGCTTCTTCTGCTTCTTCTTCTTCTTCGACATAGCTTGGGATTTGTTCTGCTATAAGTTTGTGTTTAGTGTTATTTATGTTATTAGCCTGCAGCAGACCTCTTCACCTCGCCCTCATGTTCACTCCCATCACACCTCACAGTCAGAGGAGATTCAATAACTGAAATGTGAAAATCACATCCATGTTTAATGTTTTAAATTGTGATGTTGGATCACTAATAAAGAATTCCACATCACTTTACCTGCGAGTTTTCTTTTATCACTAAGCTTTAGTATAGATAACCTCATTAGTGTTTGCTGTTATATTAAAATCAAATTTATTGTTTTTATTGCAGTTGGGTTTATTTGTCATTTATAATCCATCCAAAGTTCCCGCCTCCTGCTGCTGCTTTAGCCCAGATTTGCTGCTGTTCTCAGTGAGCTGCATCAGCATTACAAAAACCTGACCAGGGAGATGAAGGGAAAGTGAGAAAAAATGGACCAGAAAAAAATACTGGTTTAAAAATGTAAACAGTATAATAAATTATATGAGAGAGGAAAATGTGCAAAGGAAAAACAACAATGTGAACAAATGCATGAAACCAAGAGAGAGAGTGAGTGGACTGTGTGGGATAAACAGCAAGTGCTGCTGCAGCTCCATTAGTGTGTGTGTGTGTGTGTGTGTGTGTGTGTGTGTGTGTGTGTGTGTGTGTGTGTGTGTGTGTGTGTGTGTGTGTGTGTGTGTGTGTGTGTGTGTGTGTGTGTGTGTGTGTGTGTGTGTGTGTGTGTGTGTGTGTGTGTGTGTTTCTCTGCAGCATTTGTTATACTGCCCCGCTCCTGTCTCAGCAATAAACAAAAAGGCAACAACTCAGGCAGTGACGACTCTTTCCTGCAGCAGTTTTCTGTCAGACGGGGAAAAAAGGAAAGGAGGATATAAAACTATACTAACATCAGAAAAAGAAGCACGAAGGTAGATCACATCCAGATGGCAGAAACTCATTTAGAAACATTTTAACAAAACAGTTTGTAGTGAAATAGCCAGTATTGTATGTGTGGCTCTTATGTTTTCTTTTCTTTTGTTTTTCTTTTTTTTTCAACCCCTCCCCGTGTCCTGTCTGGCTCTGAAGCAAACAGAATTAATGTCTGAATGCTGGTGACTAGGGGTTGTATGAACTAGTCGACTAGTCGACTTCACTGCTCTGTAGTGACTTTTTATGCCTGTCATCAACTAGTCGCTGTCACGTGATAATGAGCGACAAGATGCAGTCCTCGGAAAAGACAGCAGGTGACGAGCCCCTGCGCATCGGGAGGCAACGCCCTGTGCCAGAGCGTCGGTACTGACGCCCGCAGTAAAATGGACATTTAACCAAATTGTGACCTTTACCGTCTTGCAATTTAACCTTCCCCTCACCCCCATCCTAACCTGTCCATCTGTCTGTCTGTCTGTCTGGATAGATGGATAGATGGATGATCCGTAGATCAAGGAAGCGCAATTTCACAGAAGCAGAAATTGAGGTACTTGTGGGTGAAGTGGAAAACTGAAAGGAAGTGCTTTTGCAAAACAAATAATGAAAATTCACGGAGTGGCACAGCGTTGCTTAAGCCGTCAATGTTGTGAGTTCTTCAGAGAGATCTGTGGCGGATATAAAAAATGGTCCGATTGGTATTCAATCCCGAGACTCTTGAGTGAAAGTCAGGCGCGCTAACCAGTCACCCAAACGGAGATCTCCCTTGAATAAGTAGCCAGGGTGGATAATAAATCAGGTCACAGTGACAGGACACATACTGTCTCAATCTGTCCCCCTGCTGATATTCTGCATTCCGTATTCTGTGTTTCAGGCTGTGTGTGTGCGCGCGTGTGTGTGAGGTGCGCGCATGTGTGTGTGTGCGTGTGGGGGGTCTTGTTCTGTGTGAAAACGAAGCAGTACAAGTGACAACACTGCAGGATTTCATAATTTTATCCTTCTCAGCAGCAGCACTGCAGGTGCTCTCCACGTCCAAAATGTGCGTAAGCCAGGTCCTTAGCGGAAAATGTGCACAACTATAAGTTTCCTTGCGTGGAAAGTTGCTTACGCAGTTTTCCGGCCCCGTTGTGTGCGTAAGCAAGCTTGATAAATGAGGCCCCAGGACTGTAGCTTGGCTGTCTGATAATTTAGGAAGTGTTATCCTGTCAAGGAACTCATTGATCTCGTTATCTGATGGGTTCTGATGGGTTTATCTGTGGTGAGTACAAAGTTTGGTAAAAGTCTCTGAAAGTGTTGTTTATTCTTTTAGGATCATAAACTATATTCCCAGTTGAGTCTTTCACAGCAAATATGGTAGTTTTCTCTTTATTTATTTTTAACTGGTTAGCTAAAAACTTACCTGATTTATTACTATGTTCAAAGTTTTCTATTCGTAGTCTTTGTGCTAAAAATTGTGTCTTTTTGTCAATAATTCCATGAAGTTCTAATTTAGCTTTACGTAATTTGCTCAGTAACGCTTCTTCTGTGGATGTCTCTAAAGACTTGATGATTTATTTCAACTCCTGAATACGTTTGTTTTTTGTTTTTTTCTTATGTGATGAGAAAGAGATTATTTTACCTCTCTTCACTGCTTTCCCTGCCTCCCAGAGAACAGTTGCTGATGTTCCAGGCAGGTCATTATGTTCTAAATATAAAGCCCACTCCTTTTTCAAAAATTCTGTAAAACCTTAATCTTTAAGCAGTGATGATTTGAACCTCCAGTTTTTACTTGGTGGGATTGTCTTCTTATTTACCAGTTAATGAAACCGGAGCATGGTCGCTGACAACAATAGGATGAGTCTCAGTGTCTGAAATGTCAGCCAACAATGAGCTGCTGACTAAAACATAATCCAGACGTGACTGAGAGTGATGGACGTGTGAAAAAAAAGTATACTCTCTATGGTTAGGATGAAGAGATTGCCATGCATCACAAAGCCAATAATCACTCATACACTGTTAAACTACGTTAGTGGATTGCCAATTGCGCTGAGTCCATGCTGTACTGAGCCTGTTTGTTAAAGTATCCATCCAAAAATTAAAATCACCTCCAAGTATAAGTGGACAGTCCAAGTGTTCGGAGAGTACAGAGAAAAAATTATGAAAGAATGAAGGGTCATCAATATTTGGACAGTATATGCTGGCTATACATAAGCTTTGGTTCTGTATAGATATTTTTAGTATTATAAATCTACCTTCTGGATCTGAAACTGTCCAATACTGTGAAATTGATGTTTTTGTGTATTAACATAGCTACACCTCTTTGCCTAGAGTTATAACACGCAGAGAACATGCTGGGAATCTCAGATGTTTTAAGTTCATCTGCATATGTGGCAGATCTATGGGTCTCTTGTAATAATATTACGTCTGCTTGCACTCTCTTTAACTGATCAAAAATTTTTTATCTCTTCTCTCTGGAGCCAGCTCCATGTACATTCCATGAGACAAACCTTAGTGCACTCATAGATGTGTGTGTAAGTAGCTAGAATATGACGCCTTCATGTGTA